TAGTAAAATACATTTCAAATTCCCCAAACAGAACACATTTGACTCTATTACACAGGATATTCCTTTTCATCATTTCCAAGGATGATTTTAGTGATATATTTTTATTTAAAATCAATTGCATGTTTGGTCTCTAAGTTTGGAAAAGCACTATCTCAACTATTTTCTTATGGCCTACATTGCGCTCCTACCCTAGTGTTTTTCTAGAAACAGCACAGTATTCTTGGAAAGGGTAGGAGCTATTAGTAGAGCAGAAAAGAAAGCCCCTCCATGGCAGATGGGAATCCTTAGAGCTGGAATTTTGTTCTTTTTTGAATTAAATTTTTGGGAATAAATGTTCCCATTTTTCCCTTTTGGAATATAGAAACGTTGAAACTTTTTATATGTATATATGTATTTGTTCATTCTGAAATGACTTGTCATATTTTAGGTCGTATGTGAGGATCGAATACATGGATGGGGTATGTGTCTGAGTTCCACTGTAGATGTGCCCCAAGATGATAGTAAAGGGGAGGCCATCTTCTGATCCTTTTTCAAAGTTCTGTCAGTGCCTCCTGTTTTCTGAAACTTCTTCTTCACTGTCCTATTTAAAATAGCTTTCCCTTTGAATCATTGCAGCCCGACAACTGATGTATTGGCACATAAAGTTTGAGTCTGTTTACACCTTGTTTTGTTTGTGTACTTGTTTTTACACTCTGGCATTTATTTACTTGAGAATTTATAAAGCAGATATTGAAATGGCAATTCCTAATAAGCAATTAGGACCATATTTATCCTTTCAACAATCCTGCTTTGTTCAGGGCAAAATGGAGAAAGATAATGCTGTTTGGTACCTGAAGCAATCATGCATTAAAAGGAGAAAAATGGAGTCTTTCAATCTGAAATAGCTGTCCTCAGAGAGAGAGAAAGAAGCAAAGGAAATAGATAACAGGCAAACATGTAGAATGTTCATACTTCGGGTATCTGAAAAGAGGGGTGTAGCATTTGAGTGTACTGTTCTTGCCACTTTTTTGTAAGTGTGAAATTTCTTGACAAGTTACCAAAAGAAATCTCTTGACAAGTTACCAAAAGACCACTCCTCCTCTAGGTTAAAAGATGGAGCATAGCTTCGTAATTGATAGTCCCCATTTTTCTTTTCCACCTCACCTAGTGTCTAACGCCTATCGTTCTTTCCTAACAATGAGTCAGACAAGTCGGGGACCCGTGCCAGTGTGATCAGTAAGGAAAGACCCCCGTGAAGCGTCGTGGAGGCTCTGTCCATTTGCAGTGCCCGTGGTCACGTCCAGCCGTCCACTCTGTTTCTCTCAACGTGGAGTTTCTTTTCCATCAAAAGGTCATATTTGGGTTAATTACCCCAAACACACAATCCATTGTGCAATCTTTTTTTTCCACTTCAAAATCACTGTTGAGTTATGACCCTAATTAACTGTGGTTGCACTCTTGCACTGTCTTTAATGTTCATCATTATGGAAAAGGTTATAAGAACAGTGGAGGTGGAAGAGATGTTAGCTATACCATGATGTCATGAACACCGACATTGGGCCTGGCAGGTAACAAGTGCTCTGTGCTCCTTTCTTGAACAAACCACGAGTGGATGACTGGCTAATATTGATCTCTCCCCACTTCCCACCTCCTGACCCCGAAGGCTGAGGGTTTATCATGCACTGTCTGAAAACCCTCAGAAGTGCTTCCCTGGTGTTGCCCGTCTCTGACGATGGGGAAGTTGAAGCTGACGCAAAATCCAAACTACTAAGCCAGGATTCTAATGTTAGAATTTTGCTGATTTTAGTCACTGTCCTCGCTGACAAACAATTTCCGTCATAGCATTTAGACCTAACGGGTTTTTCTCTTTTGGATGATTAGCCCCGATGGAGAAGAGCTGGGGTTTTGTTCCCTCTTAATTAACTTTTAAATAATCGTGGCTGGGAGAGAGGGTCTCTCTCTCTCTCTCTCTCTCTCTCTCTCTTTTTTAAATTAAAATCATATTGTTCAATATGATAGGCCCTAGCATCTGACATTTGTGTTTAAATGTAAATTGCTTCAAGTTAAATAAAATATGAAATTCTGATCTTTAGCTGCACCAGTCACATTTCCAGTGCTGTAAAGCCACATGTGCTGAGTGCTACTGAATAGGAGGACAGCTCCAACCCAAACCAAACACATTCACTGCTGTCGGGTTGATTGCAACTCATCGAGACCCGACAGGGCAGGGTAGAACTGCCCCGGTGGCCTTCTGGGACTGCAACTCTTTATAGGAGCAGAAAGCCTCATCTTCCTCCTGGGGAGTGGCTATTGGTTTCCACCCGCTGGCCTTTTGGTTAGCAGCCCAGTGAATAACCATGATGACACCAGAGCTTCACTGGACAGCACAAGTAGAGACACTTCCCCTCATCGTAGAAAGTACTACTAGATAGTATTAGACTTTAGAATTTCAGCTGAAACTAGTAAAACCTATCCTGGAAGCTAGATTCCATGATTACCAAAGTCTCAAGCAATCAATCACCTTGGAAAATTTTCTTGGATGTTAACATAACTTAAAATAATGTATTTTAATTACTTCCAATTGACTAACCAATTACAATAAAAAGAAAATTAGTATTGGGAGCAAATGCAGAATGTTAGACAATGCTTGACTTAATAGATGTCTAAGATGCATACAAAAATAAATCAGGTTAGAAATGATTTATTGTGCAAATGTTTTGAGAATGATGATGGCAACAAACGTACATATGTGCTCAACACAATGGATGGATGTATGGATTGTGATAAAAATTGTATGAGCCCCCAATAAAATGATTAAAGAAAAAGGAAATGATTTATTGTGTTCACCTATATCATAAAAGAGTGGAGCACACAGAGGAAAAATATAACTATTTAAAAAAAGCTTTTATTATGAACTATTTCAAGTACAAAAATATATATTTATTTTAAATATTAAAAGAGTAGTCCATATTTTTTCACAGTGGTGGCATAAAGGAATTTATATATGGACATTTAGCCACCTGGTTATTAAAGAAACATGTTTTCGTTGTTGTTATTTTTTAATCCAGTCAGTAAATTTGCCAGGATTGCATTGACCTTTTTGTGGTTTGTTTTTTTTAATTAAAACCCCATTGTTCAATATGATAGGCCCTAGCATCTGGCTTTTGTGTTTAAATGTAAATTGATTCAAGTTAAATAAAATTTAAAAGTTTGATCCTTAGCTGTACCAGTCACATTTCAAGTGCCAAGTTCACAGGCCAAGTCGGAAAGCATACACTCAGGGCAACAACTTCCCCTCTCTGAGCCCACGCTGCGCATCAGTTTGTGAGCAACTGGGCTAGCCGCTCACTCTGTGAGAGCCTCATCCCTAGCCTGTACCTTCTGTGCTTCCTCCTGTATGGCACGGATTGAGTTTTAAGGCTAAAGATCCACTTTCTGAGAGTTTGGCAGTTTCATCCATCATAATAGATGGGAAAATACGAAGTTGAATGGGAAGACTTGAAAATTAGATCTGTATATAACGTAAGATACTATTAAATCCATACATAACCAGTCTCTGACACCGAGACAATGCAGACTCATATGAAACCCTATGGGTTTCCAAGACTATTACTGTTTACAGGAGTAGAAAGCCCAGTCTTTCTCCGGAGAGCTGCTAGTGGTTTTGAACTGCTGACGATCTAGATCACAGCCCAATGCATTACCACTACCCCACCAGGGTGCGCATTCTCTCTATATAGTACAATTACTTAAGTTATATTGAATTGTTTTGTTTGTTTGCTTATTTTCCCAGTTAAAAAAATCAAGAAAAATGAAGAACACGGGTAATTTAGCCTCAGAAAAAGGAAGTCTAAAGACTGGGCTTAATAGCTATCTCCTAGACAACCCCTTCCACCACCACCAAAACAAACAAGCACCTCTCTGTCATTGCATTGATGCAGACTCATGGTGACCCTACAGGACAGGGTAGAACTGCCTCCTGTGAGTTTGCAAGACTGTAACTCTTTACAGGATTAGAAAGTCATGAAGACTGTTTCCCATCTTCACAGAAGATGTTCTTATTTTCCATTGAGAAAATATTTTTGTGCACTCCGTCTCTTCTCCCTGCCTTGTTAAGAGCAACAGTGCATGTTTCCTTAAGGGTTTCATCCTCACTACTTGCTTAGCTCCAAGAGATAGTGAAGCATTTAATCACTAATGAATGAAGGAACTTGTACCAAGTGAAAATCGTTGCTTCTGACCCAAGCACATTAGGAAGTTGTACATGTGAACCCATGTCAGTAGCTTGGTCCCCTAAGAAAGGAGTACCCATCAAATGATCATGAGCAGCCCCTTTCTTTGGGATTTTGCAGCTCACAGTTTTGCATTATCTGTAGCATGTCATGTGTAGATAAAGTACCCAAACATTTAACTAATGGCATGATACAAGGGACCACAATGCCTGTAATCAAAAGCAGGTCTTTGAGCAATTTCTCCTGTTTTTGAATACTGACTTTGGAATGTATTGTATGAATTTCCCAGTGCAAGTTGACTTTCCTGGTAATATTTTTCTCACAACAAAGGATTGGTGTACTTGAACTAATGGGACTTGCTTTTGCCATTAGGTTTCACGAAGAACCTCAGTGGGCCCCTTCCATCCTACCTATGCACATCTCAGAGTTTTTCATTCATTTTATATGCTACTTCCTGCTATGCTTTTGTGTGTATGATAGATTAGGAATATGATCATTTCCATGTTCCGGTCCCATCCAGTTTTTCTCTAGACTGTGAGTTCTTGAGGGAAGAAGCTGGTCTTCACTACTCTGTCTTGCATATAAAAATGTGCTGGCATGGAGTCAGCACTCCAGTAAACACTGTAATTGAACAATAAAGTACAAATGCTTTTCAATGAGAGGCCTTTGGGGCCTCCTCTTATTTATATGCCAGTTAATCCCACTACTTTTTAGTATTGGGAAAGCACTCCCTGAGCATAGCCTTGATATGGGAAACACTATCTTATGTTTGATTCTTTTCTCTTTTAGGAAGAATCCTCAGCACAAGATAGAATATAAACATAGTGCCCCTCCAGGTAAGAAGTGCTGCTTCCAGAACCGCGAGATAGAACTTTAGAGTGAAATATGTGCTGTTTTTAGCTACTGTACATGTTTGAAAACCTCTGCTTCTCTTCGTTGTTTGAATTGCTGATTTTAATTATTTTTTCTAGATAAAAGCAAAACGATAAACCTTTTATATGTTTTCCATAAAATACACATGTATTCTGTCACTTTAGGATTCTTTTGTTTGTGATCACCTAAAAACAAAATCTCAAAGTGGCATGAGAGATATTGAGAACTCATTGACTCGTATCACTGAGAAGTCCAGAGGTAGGGCTGGATGAGACAAAGTCCTTTGCTCTCACTTAATAATGTCATCGAGGTCCTAATATCCTTCCATCAATCTGTCTTTACAGGGCTTATTGCCATCCTAGGGCTGGCTTTCTTCCCAGCTGTATACAGCCCTGTTCAATTATGGCTATTAGCATTTGTATTAAAAGCTCTTGCATCTAAGGAGGCTAGTTAGGAAAATGTGCTCCGTTTACTGGCTTAAGCCCTCAACGAGACGGATCGACAGTGCTTGCGACCATGGACACAGGCTTAGGAACAAGTGTGAAGATGCTGGAGGACCGTGCAGTCTTCTGTTCCGTTGTACACGAGGTCACTCACAGTGAGTGAGAACTGACGCCATGACACCTCACAGCAACTGGCTGCGGCCATGTTCTTTCCTTTGAACTGATTACTAAGACTATCGATTCCTTTATGCCACTCCTGGAACTGTAGTCAGGGTCACTTTCCTCAGAACCCCAGGCATCCCCATGGGAAAAGGGGAGAGGACAATGAGTAGACACCAGAGAAGCAGCCAGCAAACGTCCATCAGTCCTCTTTACGTCCATCTGTTTGACTTTCTGTTTCCCCTGCTTTGAATGCTAAGCTTTTTCCTTTTATGATTCTAATTTCTCTGAATCGTTGACATAATATGGAGTCCAATTCAGCACATGGTATTTATTGCTGCTGGCAGAAAATAAACTGTGCAATAAAGGCTACATTCATATACATATGTATGTGCATACACATAACCAACTTGTAATCAAATGATTAAAATGATATATTTAACCAGAAGGGAATTCCGCTTGATATTTCTTATTGAAGCATACTGTAGTACTTTAGTATTCTGTTATGTGTTCCCTTTAGTGAGGTGAATATGGAGATTATCTGTTGCATATTATGCTTTCTAACCAGGGACTATATCTAATGATGCAGCATTTATAGTGGAAGGAATAGCTTTCTTTTTTAGAAATAATTTTGTTGGGTTTTAACAGTTTTATTGGCACTTCATCCACACATTACACAATTCAATAGTTCAATCATATTAAGAGGAATTGTACAATCATTACTTGAATCAATTTTAGCAATTTTTCTCTCTCTTCCTCTACTCCCCATGCCACCCCCATGGTTAAATTGCTTTTAAAATGAGTTGTATAATCTATTAATTCTAGTGCTCCCTCCCCCTCCCACATACATTGTTTGCTTCCCCAAACCCCTCACCGTACCTGTCTCCCACCTCCCACCCCAACCTCCCTTATAAACCCTTGCATCAGGTTTTTGGTCTTTTTTTAAGATCATTTTTATTTGGGGCTCTTATAACAATCCATACATCAATTGTATCAAGCATATTTGTACATATGTTGCCATCATTATTTTCTAAACATTTACTTTCTATTTGAGCCCTTGGTATCAGCTCCTCTTGTTTTCCCTCGCTCCCCGCTCCCATGCTCATGACCCCTTGATAAAGTATAAATTATTATTATTTTCATATCTTACACAGACCTCTGTCTCCCTTCCCCCCATGGTTTCTGTTGTTCCTCCCCCTAGGAGTGTGTGTGTGGTTATGTGTCCATCATTGTGATCGGTTTCCCCTTCTTCTGCTACTCTCCCTACCTTCCCCCTACCTTCCCAGTATCACTACTCCCATTTCTGTTCCTGAGGGTTTTATCATACCTGGATTCCATGTGTCATAAGCTCCTATCTGTACCAGTATACATGCTCCGGTCTAGCCCAAAATGAAAGACAGGACTGGGATTATGATTGTGGGGGGTGAGGAGGCCTCAGAGAACCAGAGGAATAGTGTGTGTTTCATCGGTGTTATACTGCACCCTGGTTGACTCATCCTTTTGTTGTGACCCTTCTGTGAGGGGATGTCCCATTGTCTACAGATTGGTTTGGGGGTCTTCTGATGCCTGTTAGCTGATCCTGTCAACACCTCATGATCGCACAGGCTGGTGTGCTTTTTCCATGTGGGCTTGTTGCTTCTCTGCTAGATGGCCGCTTGTTGACCTTCTAGCTTTTAAGACCCCAGATGCTATATGTTTTGATAGCTGGGCACCATCAGTTTTCTTCACAACATTTGCTGTGCATCCGTTTTGTCTTCAGTGATTGTGTCAGGAGGGTGAGCATCACAGAATGCCTGCATGAGTTATTATCTCTATACATCTATTCCTTTTGTGCTTTGCAAATTGGAAAACCCAACAGAAACAAAATAAAGTAGTAAGGATAAAATAAACAGAAATAATGAGTAAGAAAGAAAAGACTACCATAAATATTTAATAGAATAGAGAAGAAATTTTTGTCATGGAACAAGCAAGAAATACTTGCACCTAGAACAATTTCAGGTTCGGTCAAGAGGGAGGTCAAGTGACCAGGTTGTCAAGTTCGATCCAGTATAATCACGATTACAATGATCTCTACCTGATAGCAAAGCTGTTAGAGACCCTGCCTGCGGCTAGAAGGGATCTGCAGGTGGGTTTTAGGCTCCTACTATCCTCCATATCCTTCCACAATTGATAACGTAATCCATCTTGTTGTGGGTCTTCCTCTTTTTCACTGCCCCTCTACTTTACCAAATATGATGTCCTTTTTTTCAGGGAATAACTTCTCCTAATAATATGTCCAAAGAATGTGAAAAGTCTGGCCATCCTTGTTCTAAGGAATATTCTGGTTGTACTTCTTCCAAGACAGATGTGTTCATCCTCTAGGAAGTCCATGGTATTTTCAGTATTTGTCTCCATGCATTGATTCTTCTTTGGTCTTCCTTATTCAGCGTCCAAATTTCACATGCATATGAGGCTCTTTTCATTCAGCGTGCCACCTTGATCCTGGTGTCGCCATGGGCCACCGCCCTGCCCGATGTTACCCGTATTGTAAGAACAAGCCCCACCCAAAGTCCCGCTTCTGTCGAGGTGTCCCTGATGCCAAGATTCGCATCTTTGACCTGGGCCAGAAGAAGGCAGAGGAGGATGAATTCCCACTGTGTGGCCACATGGTGTCAGATGAGTGCGAGCCGCTCTCCTCCGAAGTCCTGGAGGCTGCTGGTATCTGTGCTCACAAGTACCTGGTGACAAGTTGTGGCAAAGATCGCTTCCACATCATCCGCATCCACAGGTGTTGTTGTGCGCTGCGGCTGACAGGCCCCAAACTGGGATGCGAGGTGCTTTGGGGAAACCTCAAGGCGCAATGGCTAGAGTCCACGTTGGCCAGGTTATCATGCCCATCCACACCAAGCTTCAAAACAAGGAGCATGTGATTGAGGCCTTGCAGAGCCAAGATCAAGTTCCCTGAGCGACAGATGATCCACATCTCCAAGAAGTGGGCTTCACCAAGTTCAATGCCAACAAGTTTGAGGATATAGTGGCTGAGAAGCACCTCATCCCGGATGGCTGTGGAGTCAAATACATCCCTCACCGTGGCCCCTTGGACAAGTGGCGGCCCTGCGTTCATGAAGGCCTTGGTAGCCCTGCGCTGCCTCACTTGTACCCACCAAATAAAAATTGAACTTCCTGGGGAAAAAAAAAGGTTATGGTCAGGCCCACCTCAGTTCTCAAAGTAACCCCCTTGCTTTTCAAGAGGTTTTATGCAGCAGATTTACCTAATACAACGTGTCTTTTGATCTCTTGACTGCGGCTCCCATGAGCATTTATTGTAGATTTAAGCTAGATGAAATCCTTAGCAACTTCAATTTTTACTCCTTTTCTCATGATGTTACCTATTGGTCCAGTTGTGATGATTTTGGTTTTCTTTACACTGAGTTGTAATCCATACTGAAGGCTGCAGTCCTTGAGCTTCATCAGCAAGTGCTTCAAATCCTCCTCATTTTCAGCAAGCAAGATTGTGTCATCTGCGTATGTGTAGCAGGTTGTTAATAAGCCTTCTTCCAATCCTGATGCTACATTCTTCTTCATATAGTCCAGCTTCTTGGATTACTTATCCAGCAGACAGCGTGAATAAGTATGGTCCTGACAGCTCTCTTTCCTGTTCCTTTGTTCGGCTTCCACATAAGCACAATGAAGTACTCTGGAATTCCCATTCTTCTCAACGTTATCCATAATTTGTTAGGATCCACCTACTCCAATGCCTTTGCATAGGCAATAAAACACAAGTAAACTTCTTTCTGGTATTCTCTGCTATCAGCCAAGACCCAGCTGATGGCTGCAGAGATTTTCCTTGTGTTTCACCATCTTCTAAATCCGGCCTGAACTTCTAGCAGCTCTCTATCAATGTCTTGCTACAGCTGTTTTTGAATTATCTTCAGCAAAATTTTCCTTGTATGTGACATTAATATTTTTTAGAATTTACACATTCTGTTTGTTCCCCTTGGAATGGGCACAATTAATGGCTTTCTTTCAGTTGGTTGACCAGGTAGCTGTCTTCCAAATTTCTTGTCATAGTGAGTGAGTCCTACCAGCGCTTCATCAGCTTATTAAAACATTTCAGTTGGTATTCCATCACTTCGTTGAGCCTTTTTTTCCCCATTAATGCCTCCAGTGCAGCTTGAAATTCTTCCTTCATTGCCATTGGTCTTGATTAGATTCTGCCTCTTGATGTGGTTGAATATGGATCTGTTCTTTTTGGTATAGTGACTCTCTGTATTCCTTATATTTCTTCAAATAATTCCTGCATTATTCCGCTTTTACCCCTAGAATACATTAATATTGCAACTCGAGTCTTGATTTTTTTCATCAGTTCTTACAGCTTGAAA